ATCCCTTGCTTTGTCCCGCCGGTGGGGCCAGGATGTCGGAGCGCGCCGACCTGCTGCGCTTCAAGTTCGACAACTACGGCGACTCGATGTTGCAGAAGATGAGCCGGCTGCGCGAGGAGAACAAGTTCTGCGACGTGGTGGTGCACGTGGACGACGCGGAGGTGCACGGGCACAAGATCGTCTTCGCCGCCGGCTCCCCCTTCCTGCGCGACCAGTTCCTGCTCAACGATTCCCGCGAGGTGAAGATCTCCATCCTGCAGAGCTCCGAGGTGGGCCGGCAGCTGCTGCTGTCCTGCTACAGTGGCGTCCTGGAGTTCCCCGAGATGGAGCTGGTGAATTACCTGACGGCCGCCAGCTTCCTGCAGATGAGCCACATCGTGGAGCGCTGCACGCAGGCCCTCTGGAAGTTCATCAAGCCCAAGCAGCCGCTGGAGGGCAAGGAGGACTGCGAGCGGCAGAGCGACTCCTCGGAGCTGAAGGAGCCGCCGGGCGACGAGGACGACTCCCTGCAGCAGGACTCGCCGGGCGTCCAGCCCTCGGAAGACAGCCTGGACATGGAGGATAGCGACATCCAGATCGTCAAGGTCGAGTCCATCGGGGAGGTGTCCGAGGTCAGAAACAAAAAGGACGCGGCCCCGTTCATTTCTTCCGAGCAGACCGCTCTGCATTCCTCCGAGCCGCAGCACTTTTTAATCAACTCCACGGTGGAAAACCGAGCAAATGAAATCGAGCAGAACCACCTCCACAACTACGCCCTTTCCTACGCCGGCGGCGACAATATCGTGATGGCTTCTAAAGAGATGTTTGGCCCCAACAATCGAGGCATAGACAAAGGGCTCCAGTGGCATCATCAGTGTCCCAAATGTACCAGGGTGTTCCGGCACCTGGAAAACTATGCTAATCACTTAAAAATGCATAAACTGTTCATGTGTCTGCTGTGCGGCAAGACGTTCACTCAGAAAGGCAATCTCCACCGGCACATGAGGGTACACGCGGGGATCAAACCTTTTCAGTGCAAGATCTGTGGGAAAACGTTCTCTCAGAAGTGTTCCTTGCAGGACCACCTAAACCTGCACAGTGGAGACAAGCCCCATAAATGTAACTATTGTGACATGGTTTTTGCACATAAACCTGTCCTGAGGAAACACCTTAAACAGCTACACGGTAAAAATAGCTTTGACAATGCCAATGAAAGGAATGTTCAAGATATAACGGTTGACTTCGACTCATTCAGCTGTAGCACCGCTACAGACAGTAAGGTCTGTCAGCCAGCGGATGCGAGCCAGGTACTAGATGCAGGAAAACTGGCCCAGGCTGTGCTCAATTTAAGGAGCGATAGTACTTGTGTCAACTAAGCAGCTGCGCTGCGGAAGCAGCCCTTTGGAAGTGTCCTGGGTGAGAGGGACAAGTTTGGTTCGGTCTCTTTGCCAAGCAGGTGGCCTACTCCGTAAGGCTGTATACAGGAGGATTGAATTACAAAGCGTAACAGGTCTTCAGCCTTCATTCTAGTCGCTGTTATTCACCAAAAATATCATCTTCCTGCAAGTTTCTACCTGTGCCCCTAGTGTGGATAATGGGGTTATATTGACTGCCTCATTTTCTCCGATTGAGTCTTGGGCAGTGATTCTCAACTGAGGTCCCTCCAAGGCTGCTGTGGTGTCCGGCCCCTGTGCCAGGAGGAAAACAATCACTTCTCCTCCTGCCAGGCACCCCAGCATCCCACAGGCAAGAGGTTTCACCTGGCTGCGCCCCACGCCCAGCAGCTCCCACATCAGTCCATGATCTGGCAGTGTGCTCTGCTGCATGCGGACAGGCAGGTGGATGGACAGCTTGTCCCTCCAACCCCGCCTTCTCCCATGCTTCTGAGGCTGGCAGGGGGGGGGTTGCAGGTGTGTGTGGCCCCAGAGGTGCAGTGTTTTCCCCCTTGCGTATAGACCAGGGGCTGGGAGGGGACAGGCAGTGGAAAAAGTAGAGTACAGTGGGGTAAAGTCCTGCCCCCACCCTCCTCGCCTAGCATCAGTTAGGTTCTAGCTCAGTGGTTCTCAGCTGGTATGCCACTAATTTTCACAGAGCTATAAAGGGGTGCCTTGAGTCTAAACAGGTTGAGAACCACTGATCTTGGGACTAATGTTTTCTGACAGACTTGCTGTAGGCTGCAGAGAATCCACCTGTACAGTTAACGGTCTCTCTGCAACTGGGCTGATGGAGAAAACAGCCAGACAAGTCTTGAGACACAGAAACCCACCTTTTCCAAAAGCACTGGATATTTTGAGAGCACTCCATGTAGTTAACCATTAATTTGTGTATCAAGACAGTTGTTTTCCGATCCTACCTTAGGCCCCTAAAGTTAAATGCTTTTTTCTGTGTCACTTCTTGTCCCTTCTAAACTGTGTTACCAAATTCCCTCTGCTAATCAACCCTACCCCAATTCTCAGGGTTTTTAACATAGATGTGCATTACAAGAAACTAAAGCCCTGAATAGTCTAGCTTGGTCAGTTAATGATTTTGTGGGATTCTTGATGATGATGATAAAGCATAGCCCTTCAGGAGTGAGACTGACCACCTAGAATCAAGGTATGAGTTTTCTGTTGGGGCTACTAAAAGGGCACTTACCACTGTATGTACTGAGACATGCTGAAGACTTCAAAATAAAACTATTGTCCATCTTCTGTAAGCATTGTTCACGGAAACCATAGTTGTGACCTTCATATTTAGTTTTAAAGCCAAGCTGGAGTGGGAAATATTGTCATTTGACACTGTGAAAAGAATGTTTCAGCAGCTGAGATGTACAACTTCCTCCGATTTTTAATTAGTTTTCACTCCTGTATTAACTGTCCTTGACATCTTATGGGGCCACATATCAAGTAAGTTGGGGTGGGAGCAAAAATTTGTTATACTAACCCACACTGTGCAGTGTTAAGTTATGATATCTGATTCTTCAGACTTACAAAATACGGTCCCTGAAAAATGGAATTGACATCCTGTATAATAGTTGGATTTGACTTTCTAAAACTTGAAGTTTGGAGCAAGTCACAGATAGGAATTTCTGTAAGTTATTGCATTTTTATTGTCTGCTCAGTGGTGCTTCTTGTACTCTGCCTTAAATGCATCAGACTTAGAGGAAGTAGAGTGTTAACTGGAACCGTGGCATTATACTGTGTTGCTGTCAGAAAGTAACAGGGACAATTCCATTTAGATAGCTTCTATTCCAAATGGGGCAGAAAGAACGACTTTACTTTCTTATGAAGAATGCTGCTCACAGCAGAGGTTCATACTTGTACTGACTTGCGGCATAGGTCGGTAACCTATTGATTGACCCTTGGTAAAGAATAGCTCCTAATATTCAGATCAAATGTTACTTCCAGTGCAGCTGTTTTCCAGGAGGTCCTTCATGAAACTGAATTATGCTTCCAGTTTAGTTTAATGCTCTGCATGTGAGTTTGAATGAGAAACAAAAAGGCTCTTATTTTATGGTTAACATGTTGAACAACAGGTATGCTCAACAGTCTTTTATAGTAAAAAAAAACAAACAACCTGCATTTAATTACCAAGAAATAAGTTTTAAAAGGACTTTGTAGCCATTGGACATTCTTTGTGAAGGCATTATGGTGTACAATTAGAGGAGTGGTAATCTTACAGATCTAATTTAGACCCCCAAATAGAAGAGAGGGAGGAGAGCTATGAAAGTGAAGAATCAGCTTTTTGAGTTAAGAGTTTTAAACTGTTCTGTTGGACTGTTACATGGAGAAGCGTGGATTAAATAATGGTAGTGATGTCAGGGTATTAAATCGCTGAGTTCTGGCCATTCTGTTCAGGTTCAAAATATATTTTAAGGTGGTAATTGTCCGGTTCCAAAAGCAGAGACTAGAATTGCATAAAAATATGAATGCTTAAAAAATGTTGCAGAGGAGGATGCTCAAACTGTTCAGATGCATCTGGGTGAAGGACATCTGCTAAAGAGCATACCCTTCAGCCTGGAAAAGGACAACAGGCTAAGGGGTAGACCATGCAGGATGGGGCTAGATGACCTAGCACAATGGTACAGTATGGATCTAAGCAGCAAAAAGCAGAGCAGAATGGAGAGGTAGGACTATAAAACATGACTGCTATGGTTGCTAGAACAAACAGGCAAAAGAAGGAATAGAGGAGAGGCAGGGGGGAAAAAAGATGGTCATTACTTTATTCCTAACTTGTGAATCTTAAAATGTAGTTTGGGGCTATTATAAATCCAAAGGCAACTTTAGGAGGGACTAAGATAAACTTTATATTGAATCTAAAACACATGCAACTTTATTGTAAGTCACTCTGAGTGCCAAGTTTCCATACGTGAAAGGCTAGATTCATTTTATTTCAT